ACTATAACTCCAATATTGGTGGACATCCGTGATCATTATTTAATTGGATGAAATCCATAAACACGCACTGTTTTCCTCTTGCCCACCCAAAATTCATGCAATGAAAAACCGCAAATTACCCACAATTACAAGTTTGAATCTTACAATAAAATCAAGTCAACGATGACCACACAATCCTACTCATTCTCTCATCTCTCCCCTGTGTCTCTCTCGTTGTTCTTCACCACGCTTCTGATCTCCACTCCAGATCATGGGTGTCGACGTCAACTTCAACCTCTAGTACTTCCAATGTGGTTTGGTATTTAGATAATTTATGTAAATTAATTGTAGTGTTAGATGAAGTAATAATGAACTCATCACTATGCAGTCTATTGTTTCACTTCATTTAGTTACAATCATTAATTTCTTATTCTCAGTTAACACCAGACAATCTTACAAAAGTTGAAATAACTTTACTAACTCATATAAAATTAAAAGTACAAATAGAAAAAACATCGACAACAATCATACGAGTATTCACACATACAAATTCAAATCTCAACACTCAATGTCGAACAATGTCCAACTATTATTGAAAACAATACAAACCATAGCACATAACTTATAGTAATTCTCCACTTAGGCATGGGAAAGGATCCGAACACTTAAATTTGCTAGCTGATTTGATGCTTTCTCATACTCATCAACGTCAAGAAGCTTCCTTCCATTAACAATTTTGTGAGCTGCCTCCAAGGCTTTTTCCAATTTTTCCATGTCTTCCTTCTTGATCTTTGTCTTGCCAGATTTTTTTATGCCTTTGATTTTGCTTTTCACACTATAAATGAAATCTTCCAAGTTAGTACGTGCAACAGTCTTCTCCTTGAACTCCTCGTCGTCAAGTTTATGCCTATGCGCATCAATTATCATCTTCTTGATGTCTTCCTTTGAAAGCCTTTGCTTATCATGGCTAATTCTAACCTTCTTTTTTAGGCCAGTGGTTACTTCCTCACCTGAGCAATTTAAAATGCCATTAACATCTATGTTGAACACCACTTTTACCTTTGACTTGCCTTTTGGTCCGCGTGGGACTGGGACTTGAAATTTTCCCAACCAATTATTATCTATAGACCTAAATCTCTCACCCTGATAGACATTGAAAGTTATAATTGTTTGGTTATCCTCTGACGTGACATAATCTCTTTCCTTGGTCGTCGGTTTTGGGGTATTTCTTTTAACTATAACACTTAGTGAGCCATCATGCACGTTTACACCAAGTGACAATGGGATGACATCAATGAGATGCAATTTGTTCACTTGTAGACTTGTATTGCCACTCAACTTTGCAGCAAGAACAGACGCCCCGTGTGCAACAGCCTCATCTGCATCGATCTTCTTGCAAAGCTCTTTCCCATTGAAGAACTCTTTCAACAAATGTTGTACCTTGGGTATCCTAGTTGACCCACCAACAAGCACCACCTCATCTACATCTTTCTTATTCAAATTCGCATCATGTAAACAACTCTCTACCATCTTTATGCATTTAGTAAAGAAGTCTTGATTTAGATGTTCAAACTTTGCACGAGAAATTTTCATAGAAAAATCAACACCCTCATGCAAAGCATCAATTTCGATAATGGTTTCCGTGGCTGAAGAGAGAACTCGTTTTGATTTTTCACAAGCTGCCTTCAACCGCCCTAGTGCTTTTGTATTCCCACTCATGTCTTTTTTGTGCTTTTCATTGAATTGCTTCACGAAGTGGTTCACCATTAAGTTATCGAAGTCCTGACCACCTAAGTTAGTGTCACCCGCAACAGCTTTCACTTTAAAAGTAGCTTTTTTATCAATGGTGACAAGAGAGACATCAAACGTACCACCACCCAAATCAAATATGAGCACATGTGTGTCACGAGTTATGTTCGTACTCTTGTCTAGCCCATAAGCAATTGCAGCTGAGGTAGGTTCATTGATTATTTGTAGAACATTAAGTCCTGCAACAAAACCAGCATCCTGTGTGGCTTGGCGTTGGGAATCATCAAAATAAGCTGGCACCGTGATAACGGCATCTAGCACGGTATCACCAAGGTATGCCTCTGCAGTTTCTTTTAGTTTGATAAGAACCATGGATGAAATCTCTTCAGCGAAAAACTCCCTCTTTTCACCCTTGTATTCGAGTGCAATCTTTGGGATGTTGTTAGCCCCTTGAATAACTTGAAAAGGCCATAACTTCATGTTTTGTTGAAGTTTGGGATCATTGAATCTTCTTCCAATCATTCTTTTCGCATCTGAAGATCAACTAAGTATGTAATCGCCAACGAAAAGTAACGACTCTTCTAAAAAATCTAAAGGTGCTTTTGGTTGTAGAAAACTGTTTTTATTTTCCAAGAAAATGTTTTTAGAAAAATGAGTTGAGTTTTCATTTTCGGTTTTTCAATGAAAATTTTAGAAAATGTGTTTTGTTGGAGCCGATAGAGTTTTCATTTTCCATCTTAGCAATTTAGAAAACTTTGAATAACTATAAAAATCATTTTTCTAATTTACATACAATTTGGAAAACTGAAAATTTTCATTTTCTTGGAAAACTTTTGAAAACGGAATCAACGGAAGGCGTTTTAAAAATTTTCATTTTCATTTGAAAATTTTCATAAAAAACTAGAAAATTTTCCTCAACTAAACGCACTCTAAGTGTTTTAAAAGACTAAAGGTATATAATACAAACCGTAAATCGTGGACAAAGGGTGTGAACCCAACTTGTTCTTAGCACCTTCACCTATTACACGTCCTACATCGGTGAATGATACACAAGATGGCATAGTCCTATTCCCTTGATCATTGAGTATGATCTCAACCCGGTCATTTAGCCAAACACCCACACAACAATATGTTGTACCAAGATCAATACCAATTGCAGGTGCAATACCATATCCAGCCATTATACTTTAAAGTCAAACCTGCAATATTCATGAAACAAGTGACCATTATTCATTTTTGATTTTCAATCTTTATATTCATGTAACTTCCAAACTATTTGTATTTACCCAAAATAAACACTTTCCATCCCAAAAATAAAAACAAAACAAAACAAAAAAACAAAAACAATTACATCAAAAAAAATTTAGTTGTTGGCAATGTTACAAAGATTCATCTTAAGTTTCGTTTTTAGTTATTTAAGTTTCGGGAAAAACATTTCACTTGCGATATCCATACAAAATTTCACTTATTTTATAGTTTTTTACTATTTCATTAACCACTCATAACTATTTAATATCATTGGAGTTTTAGTTTTTGACCAAATAAGGTTGCGTTTAGTTACGGAAAAACAATTTTCATTTTTCGTTTTTTGTTTTCCCTTTTCGATTTTTGTTTTCCGTTTTCATTTTTCATTGAAAAATTTAGAAAACGCGTTTAGTTAAACTTATTCATTTTTCATTTTCAGTTTTAAAAAATTAGAAAACGTGTTTAGATGTGTATTTTTCTATCGGTTTTCATTTTTTGAAAACGGTAGCGGTGGTAGGGTGTGGGTGGGGGGCGGTGACGGTAGCGGGTCGGCGGCGGTGGTGGTGATGACAGGCGATGGTGGTGGCGGCGACAATTGTGTCATTGGTGGTGATGGTGACGGCAGCTATGGTGGTGGTGCTAGTGACGGGTTAGTGGTGGTGGTGGTGATGGTGATGGTAGGTTGGTGATTATAGTGGTGGTGTTGGGTGGATGGGGATGTGAGTGTGTGTTTGTGTATGTATGTGTGTGTTTGTGGGGGTAGGTGTGGGTTTGTGTGTTTGTGGGTGTGTATCTGTGAGGGTGGGGGTGGGGGTAAGTGTGGGTTTGTGTGTGTGTGTGAGTGTGTGTTTGTGGGGGTGTGGGTGGGTATATGTGTGAGTGTGTTTATGTGTGTGTGGGTGCGTTGGTGGGTATGTATATATGTGTGTATGTTTCTGGGTGGGTGGGTATGTATGTGTGTGTGTGTTTGTGGGTGGGTGTGTGTGTTTGTTGGTTGGTGTGTGTGTGTGTGTGCGGGTGGGTGTGTGTGTTGGTGGGTGGGTATGTATGTGTATGTGTTTGTGGATTGGTGTGTGTGTGTGTGTGTGCGGGTGGGTGTGTGTGAGGGTGGGTATGTATGTGTCTGTGTGTGTGTGGGGGGGGGGGGTAGGGGTGTTAAGGTGGGGGTAAGTAGAGGTGGATGGGGTGGGAGTGGATGTGCGTTTATATTTTAGAAAAATTTTGGAATTAGAAAAATGTGGAAAACAATGATTATCAGTTTTCAAAAAATTTCAAACTTCTTTGTAATCTTAGAAAACGGAAAATGAAAAATAGACGAACTAAACGCGTTTTCAAAATTTTCATTTTTGTTGGAAAATTTTTCCGAAAACGGCCCATTTTTCCGCAACTAAACGCACCCTAAGTGTTTTTTTTTTTTTTTTTTAATATTTCCCATACAAGTATCGTTTTAAACTTATTTACCAAACAAGGGTAAATACATGTGTTTAGCAATCAACAAAAAGAAAAACCTATCGTGCCCTACTTCTATTGTTGAACGGACGCAGAAACAACGTCGAAAGAAAACTACACTAACCATTGGCTGCCTTAGCCGCCTGCACCTCCATCTTGGGCCACAGTTCCAGCCGGCGACTCCACCTCTGGCCACACCAGACGGCGACTCCTCCTCCTCCGTCCACTCCTCCAGTCGGCCATTCCATCTCATATTCAAATTTTGAAATCCATCTCAGCTTCGATTTTGTATTTTCGTCTTTGATTTATGCCTTGTTTTGGTTTACTGAATACATATTGTTGAAAGTTGTCTTCATTTTACAAGATTCTCATTTGATTAGGTGGTGATTTCAAACTTCTTGTTTGCTACTGTGGTGATTTATACTGAGTGGTCAAATATCTATAATGTTTTACACATCTAACCTCTTCATCTTTAATCATATTTTATTTTTAGCCCCTTATTAGATTCTAATTTTAAATATTTTATGTTTCTTTAGATTCTTAATTATTCACTGAATATATATGCTCGCAGCACACAAAATGTTTTTTGTTGATTTGTTTTTTACCAGCGATTGAGCTTATTAAGCAGTGTGTTATGAAAACCGGGTTGACGCGGAAATTGACCCATTACTGAATCTATATACGGGGTCAACTTAATATTTTGGTTTAAAACATTGATTAATGATTACATGTGTATGTGAGATAGAGAGAAAGAGAGAATTTAGCATAAAATCTTATTACTATATTTGAGTTGAAGACTAACCGTTTATTTTGTGGTTGATCGTGGTTGATCACTCGTGTTCGTGTGTATCTCTTATAGTCTTATTTTCCTGCATTTACATTAATTAGAAACACGACCAAGAACACATTAAAGTCGAATCCTTTTGGATTCAAATTTTGAGCCGACTCCTTTTGTTTCAGAATAAATTATCCACAAACTAAGAAAATAAGTCATGTATTTTATATGATTTCGTACATATATATGTCATTCGTATGAGCCAAGTAAATTCTGTATTTTTTTAGCAAGCAAATTGACTTAAAAAGTATATATTAAAGATTACAACATGAGACAAGTCTAATAAAATTTACAGATAAGAAACGATAGTATATAATACTAATTTGTATGAATGTATATAATACTACTTACCTTTTCCGAATAAATGTATGAATCCTCTCCTGCGCGTCCCTTCATTTATATATGGACTTTATATATTCATACCAATTTCAAAATTATATTTCTTTCCTTTTCTATTATTTTACAATATTTAAAGACTTGGAATTCGTCGTATAATATCCGAGAGTATTAAAAGACTTGGTGGCAAATACCCACTTGGTTTTGTGAATTATTGAGTTTTAACCAAATAAATGTTTTTGAAAAGTATCTAGATATATTTTAGGATTTCTTAGCGATTTAGTATAAGAAAAAAATGGTCTATCCTTTCATATTTTCTTTCACACGTTTATACGAACAAAAAATGTATGTTTTTTTCCTATTCACTGAATTCTTTATTGTTTTTCTTATTCACTGAATTCTTTTTTTTTTTTTTTTTTCTTTTTGAGTTTCTGTTATTAATGTTTATTAATTTATTTTACAAAGACCATTATAACCAATAATTTTATGTAGAGCCCATAAAAATCAACCCAAACTACAAACCCAACCCAAAATTAGTAGGTTGAGTTGAAAATTTCAACCCGTTTAATTTAAATTAGTCAATCCATCTAAACCATTAATTAAATATGTTGGGTGGTGTAAAAATTATCAATTTATTTTCAACTCATCAACCCATTTAACTTAAATATATATTAATTTAATAATAATTTTTAAATATTATCATATATTATTCTAAGTATTAACTTAGAAAATATAATATTATATTATTATTTATTTTTAAAAGGATGTAGTCCTACTTGTTATCTTTTTTTTTTATTTTTTATTTTTTTATTTTTTTTTACATTGACAACACTAATCAGTCACCAATATCATTTTGAAATTAAACATTTTTAAAGTTATTTGAATATTTATTTATATTTGTGAATTGGGAATGTGTCTTTGTTATACTTTGAAATTTTATTTAAGTTTGGAAATAATTTAGATGGTGTAAATTTTATTTAATTTATTTTTATTTTTTTATTTTTTAATGGATTGACCCAAGTTTATCTTATTTATTTAATAGGTTGGGTTAAAACTACATAAACAGGTCAATCCGATAACAAACCATTTATCTAAAAGGTTGGATTGGGTTGAAAATATCAACTCATTTAAATAAAAAGGTTGTATTTGGTTGAAATCTTCAATCCAATTAATAAATTGTTTGAACCCAAATTCAACCACATCGACCTATTGCAAGCTTTAATTTTATGAATCTTAACCAACAAAAGCTTCTTACAAAAGCCAACAATTTTTTTAGATATAAAATAAAAAGCACCATCTTAAATTTTAAAAATCCATAGTTACAATATTTTAAGTTCCAAATCAAGAATCGTTTCTCTCAAAATACAAAAGAAATAAAAGAGATTCAAAATAACTTGACTCTATTATATATATATATATATATATATATATATATATATATATATATATATATATATATATATATATATATATATATATATATATATTAGCCAGGGTAAATAAAGACATATTCGATATTATTTTTTGTTTGGTTAACCGATAAGACACAATATCTTATTTTTTATCTTTATTTTTGCGAATAGTGCTTATCGAATCAAGTCGTGCCAAACATTTTTTTTTAATTGTATTTTGTGTTTTGTAAGAACAAATTGTTGGTTTTATACTTAAAATATGGTAACTATGAATTTTATTTTTAAGATGGTGTTTGGACATATATGAATGTTGTCTTATCCCAAGCTTTACTAATTTTTGAAAATATTGTCGAGCATTCATTTCCTTGGTTTTCTTTTCGAAACTCTAAGGGTAGGATTCGTAGATTTTGTGGTTGGAAAATCCAATCATACCTTAATTTTATATTTTGTGAGCCTCTTGTTAGCTTTTGTTCTTGTTATAAAAGTTTGATGTTGTTAAAAAAAAATTAAATTTGATTTCTCTAACCGTGTATTTTTTCTATCTACACATTAAATGGTGCAAACTTATATTTTCAATCTTATATTTTACTAGACAAATGTTCGCGCATTGTGCAGAAGCCTATATAGTTGAAATATTTACAAATATATGTTTTTTTAAATACAACAATAATATTATTGTTAAATTTGATATAATAATTCGTATACTAAGTTGATATAATATTTTGTTTATTTTGAATTATATTATTATATATACATATAGTAAAACTACATAATCTTAATATTTTGAATGATCTCTTCATACGAGTTACTCATGAACAAAATTAAATATAATATATGGTTTAATGTTATTTATAGTTGTTGTCATTGTTGATTAATTTTTTAAAACTTATCTGCTTAACGTTTTAATTTTTATCATTGTAATTATTTTAAACATCAAACAATTTTTTTTTCATTTTAAAGTTGAAAATATAATCATTTATATAGAGTTATTTTTAACTATTGTTATTGTAAGTTGTTTTAAGCTACTTATTCGAAAACTTGTAACGATTATAAAAATATCTTTTGGAAATATTTTAGTTAAATTGATATTATAATTTAGTTTTTGCATTTAACACTACAATTTATTACTTTTAACTATTCACAAAATATTCTTTGAGTTTTTTAAGTGGAACTGAAATTTATATTGAAGTTGACCATGTAATGTTATATTTAAATTAACAATTTAAGTATTTTGTTCAAACTGTTCAAAAGTTGTAGCTTTAAATTGATAATGGTTTACATACAACAACATATTAAATCTAATAAATTAAGTATAATATGTTAAAAGTTAAAGATATAACTTTATAAGTAGAAGTAAAAATATTATTTTAATATTAAAATTTCGTTTATTTGTGATTACACTTTAGGTTTGATACTTATTAACCTTATTAACCAAATTATAATCATTATTTGTAACAACCCAAATTTTTACAAGGAAATTTTTTGTTTTAATTAATCGGACTAAATACATATTTCATAGATTTCCAAAACATTTGTTTTAATTCACAATTATTACATCATTATTGTCCTTTTTGAAAACATCAGAGAGTCCCAAACATCCAAAAGAGAGGTAGAGTACACGCCACGACATCACGCCTTGCCCTTGCCCTTAGGCTTTGAAGTACCTGAAACAATCAACAACCTGTAAGCGAAATGCTTAGTGAGTTTCCCGGAGCATACCACACACACAATCCACATATCACACATCCTGTTAGCTAATAAAGCTACACACATATCACATAAGCCATGCATACATAAACCTGTAACGGTGCCATGGGCTACCCTACATGGTCCTTACCTAGGACTGCCATGGGCTCCCCTACATTGTCTTACATCCAATGCCATGGGCTACCCCACATGGACTGCCATGGCTACCCCTCTTGGTCTTACATCCAATGCCATGAGCTTTCCCTAGGGTCTTCATACAACATGCAATCACATACCATAGCAAAACACAGAACATCCAACACATTTACCATAATCACATAATGGGCTGGCCTTGGTGCCTTAGACCCCTAGGTATGGTGAGGAGACTCACTTGACACGAATGCTGAACTGACACTTTGCAACCAAAATCCCGATGACCTGCTTCAACTCAACTGCCTATAAGCGACATTCAACAATCAAACATTACCCCCAAAGTCCGCCCTGGTCAACTTCAGATAAGTTCAAGTCAACAGCCCATGTTGACCCTAACTCGCCGAGTGCAACTAGTGACTCACCGAGTTTCTCGTGGTATAATCTACTCGCCGAGTTGTTCCTTCAACTCGTCGAGTTTCCGACAAACTTCATTCGGCTCGCCAAGTTGTTCATCCAACTCGTCGAGTCTAAAGCGGAATTCATCGGACTCTCCGAGTTGTTCATCCAACTCGGCAAGTTCATGCTAATGTTCATATGACTTGCCGAGTCACCTCTTGCGACTCGCCGAGTCCTAACAGATCTGAGGACATACATACTCATTTGAGCCATGCAAAGCTTCCAAATTACAGATCTAGGATTCTAAGGCATGCCTTTCACGTAAAGTTGCAAAATTTACGTGCATGCAAGGCTTTTAAGCTCTAAAATAGCAACTCTAAGCTTGGAATGGAGTCACACACTTGAGAGGAGGCTCATGCTAGGGAGTCACACACT